TTCATTCCCACTTGTGGGTAGGCAGTTACTAAGGTAAGGACAGTGCTGTTCGGGCTATTTCTATAGCACTATAAAAGTTCTGCATTGATTAAAGCACACAGACCGTCCTTACAGCTGACATTACTATGTTTATCATGGATAGAATAAATTTTCATGTGGAGCTTAACGATGAAGTCTATGCATAACGACGGAAATCGACTTTAAAAATGCTTGACAATCAGGGCACAAATGTTGTTCCGCAGCACAAATCTAAGGTACTCACTGATTGCTGTGCACAATATCAAGATAAACGCCAGAACTACAAAGGCAAGTGGATGCAGTTTGGATTTAACCACGCTTCTATCAGCCTCAATGATACTTCTATCAAAACGGAAGCGAAGCAAATGCCGAAAAGGGCGTATATGATTTTACACAAAAAAATCCTTCATCGATGCACTCAATGAATGGCCGAAACACTCCCATAGTTTCAGTTATACTGCCATTCAATCCTTCATTCTTTCATTAATTCACCAGAATATTCAAATTTCTGCCCCATTTCATTGATTCAACAACCTTATTTCTCGTTGACCGAAAGCATGCTTTTTCAGCGCCTCCCTTATCTTGTTTACTGAGGATTCGCGATGCTTTTTCATGGGTGATTTATTTCTTCCCAACCTTTTACGGTACCCCATCCAACAGTAGCAGATGGAGCTGTAGGACACTACGATTGAACAGGTGCTTATAGCCAACCCATGATCAAAATTGAAACCATCTGTCCCTACCGATGGGCAAATTAGCTATTTCGTTTGATGCTGATCGGTCAATAGAGCAGCAGCGGGCCACCCACAATGGCACCTAGGTTACCCGACCTGACGACCAAAAACACAGAGCCCAATTCCCACGCTTCCCCGCGGCCACACCTGCTACCGTGCTAGCACCTTCGTCTGCTGACATGTCCACATGTGTCCGCCATGAGTCACATTTACCTGCCTACCTATTGGTTTTCATGTGGCCAATAAACATACTGCCGTTCACTAATTGGTTAATAGAGGGTTGAACTATGTTCTGTGAGAGGGGGCGGTGAGCTGCAAGTATTAGACGAGAGCAGTGGTATGTCGTTCTGTCGGGTTGGAGATGTCGATAGTGTCGTCAGTAGCACAAAAGCGAACAAAGTCATGGAAAGTCGAGGATGTGGAGAAGAGACGAGTGTTCTCCTTACAATTATCTCAGGGTAGGTTGCCTTATCGTGCATTACGGTACTTCTCCATTGACTTCAATTTTGCAAATCATATCACTCAGTCATTCCTTCAACTCTGTTATTTCGGATTATTCAAATGTTCAGTAAGGTCGTGCAGATACCAACTTTTGCGCACATTGGAATTCAGCAGTGGTGAGCATGTGTGGCATTTAATCTTTAGTGTTTTGCAATTTGTACGCTAAAATGACTTATGACTGTTTTGAAAACTGAGGTCTTTTAATCCCTACTGTTTTTTGAATGACGAATTCAATAACAGCTTTGTCACCCACCTGTACGCAGTTGTCTTAGTGACACTACTAGTGTGACTCTTGACTTCGAAGCAATTTGACTTGTGAATTGCCAATGTCGTGTCCTCGTTTTGTTGTATGTAGGGTACTTCTTGGCTCTCCTTACTTAACGAAAAGTAGGTTTTCACAAATAGCTCTGATCACATTCAACTGTGCACAGCACTCTTAGGTAGTTTTTTGCGTGTGAAATCGCTATCTGCGTATGTGTAAAACGCATAACCCGCCGCAAATGTACGCATGCCTGCATCGGATGTCGTCACCATGGCTATCGTGGTTGCCTTTTTATATATTTCCCTTTTGATCATTTATGGCGGTCTGTCAGTGGATGGGAGTGAAAGTGCATCGAAATAGACCAAACAAGACGCCTTATTATTTCCGTCCTAATTTACATTTTGCTGAGGTCTGCGTGTGCCTCTTACTTCCCATTGCTCTCTCGCTCTCGTTTGGTGGGAACTTCGAACTATTTGTTAGCAAGCTTCCCCCTTCCGATTGTAAAACTCAAAATGAGAGTGGGAGGGCTTTGCCTTACCTCAAGCCTGTTGAAGTCATTGTTTTTTCTTCACTTCGATAGATGCCATAAATTTATCTTTCTGTGTACTAACGAATTGGATGTGTCTTATGCAACTACTTCAAATTACTAAATTTGCAACTGCAGGCTGACGCACATGCAAATGATCTCACTTTGCTTCTCACATGACCAGGCCTGTGTGTGGGATCCGCAGCCACTAAGGGGCGTTCACCTCCGTTCGTCCCTCCATGCAAGAAGGCATGGTGGAGATTCGGTTGTTCTCTCTCCTACTTTGACCCGAAGCAATGTGTGCTTTTAAGACCATTTACTTGTCCGCCGTTCGCGAAAATGGATGTAGTGTGGGTCGTAAAATTTGCTTAACGCCTTAAATTAGAAACTACTTCTGTGACTGACTGCATAACTTCAGTTACCCATACATCCTCTTGCTCCAAGCTTTCCTTTGTAGGTAGATTACACTATTATAAAAAAATTACAAACCAGAAAACAGCACTGAAGAAAGTACTTCATCGAAATGCGATTTTAAGCAGTTACATTTTTCAGAGGTATAAGGAGGCTTCGGTGAATAGTAATATTTAAGAAAATATGCACTTGCGTGCCCTCTAAGAACTGAATGACATTTTCCGACCGGAGGCGTGAATATTAATGAAGTGCAACACATAACCTCCTAGGACCGTCGCCACCACAGTTCTCACCCTTATCATCTCAACTTTTGCAAACGCAGGCAAGCCCTCCAGGTGCTATTTTCGTCAAATGTGTGAATCTTGATTCAACTCCACTTTTGCTTTAGTGTTGTTTTGTTCAAGCTGAACACCAGTTTTGATGGAAACTGTGTGTTTTTAAATGTCCACTCGCCTTCCGGTAGGAGGATGCGTGATAAGTTGTGGCACGCCAAATGTTTTTTCCTGTTGTTAGACACGCATTCGCCTTTGAGTGTGAGTTTCTTCGAACAGCCGGTTTATGTGTTTGCAGCTAGAACGCAGAATTTAGTCTTGTTTTTCTTTTCATTTGCATTTCATTTTTACGATCTACCAAAATTTTCGTTCTGCTTGGTGTTCAATTGCGTGCCCTCTGGGTAGTTTAGCACTCTGTGTGCATGCCCAACTTTCCCATTACTTTGGACCATTGGTGTTCTGGTATTTGAAGCCGGCATAGATGGAAAAAAACTTTGATAAATCAGACAGCGCATCAATTTTTCCCAATTTTTATGGACCTTAATTGCATAGGAAATCTTCGCGATTAATCAGGCCTAGTTTTTTGTGGTGGGTCTCGCTCCTCTCCCCTCATACAATTCCGACGTCTGTAATGTTTTCCGAAGTAAAGTGAGACAATCTTAATTCAAGTCAGCCGCTTCTCATACGCTCAGCGTGTGCCCACACGCGTAATTTATTCGCTCTGTCGTGGCCGTTGAAGTAGCTCGGTGTGAGTGGTGGCAAGGCAACCCAGCTTTTTTGTTGTCTCAACGCGCTGCTCCCTGCTCTAACGACGTTCGTGTTTCTGTTCCTCCATCTTCAACCAAATAATTGCCTTGTAAAAACCTCTTCTCACAGTGGAAAAGGATCGCTCTTCGCTCCTAGCCGCAATCTAATCATCTATTTCTTCCTGCTAGTAAGTAATAGTTTGAAGATGCATAATCACTCTGAAATAACCTGCAAACAAGAGAGACAACAAAATTATTTACTCTGTTCAATCACTCATTATTTACAGCCTGCTGAGTGGTCCTTCTAGATGAAGTGGCTGTCCTGATGTCAACTGATCGCACTCAATGACTTTGATGGAAACAGTTGTCAAAGCAACCAAACCGACCTTACCTCTTGTGATAGTTACAACTCATGACAGCTGGTCAGCAAGTCAAAACCCACATCTTAAGCAATATATAGCGACAAAGGAGGTCAATTCATGGGAATTGTTCCGTCTTCAGTTTCTATTCTTATTTTAAATGAGCCTAATTGTGCCCTAAATAATTTTCTGTTTTATGCACCTAGAAGCAGCGCTTCTGTTCGCTTAACTTTCGGCTTCTTGTGCACTAAGTTTACTTATTTTTGACTTATGGGGTAAGGGGCAAGAAGAACATGTCAAGATCTGCTTCCAAGCCTAGGTAATTTTACAACTGGCCTTTGTGAATGCACTTATAGACTGCTAATTTGTTTCCTTTGTCAATAACACCACCATTTTAACAGGTTTTGGGGTTTTAATTAGCCCATCCGGTTGAGTCATCCTGCAGGTGTGCATAAGGTCACGCCTCACACCCTCCAATTTCACCACTTAGGCAGACGAAAAGCCGATGTCTGACCGGCTGAACGATAACTTTTGCCTCCATCGAGGAGTTTCCAACCCCAATTTCTTTAAGCACGCTAATGCACACTGGTACACGAATCTGCATACACGTCAGCGTCCTCCAATAGGCAATCGCTTCATGTGTCATTGGCTACTGAAGTCTATTTTTTACTCTCCTGCGTGTGCGTGTTTGTAGATGAAAAAACAGAGGTTAGCAACCGACCTGGCCTGGTAACTGCCACATCTCAACCTTCTGTGTACCTCTCAGCTCACGCGGTCAAAGGAACCTGGCCTACCGTTGAAAACATAATCCGTGCTCATTCAATCACTCATGCCATTGAGGAGACGACTACTCGAGGTTTCGAATTCGTGAAGCGTCGCGCTACCACCCTTGATACTGACATGTCGACCCCACATCGCCGGGGCAAGGCTGGTAGTCGGAGGCGTCTTTTTGTGAGTTGCAATTCATCCTGTGTCTAACCTCCTCTGGGATTGCATGTAACATTGAACTAATGCGCCAATAATCGGATCAAAGTTACATCAATGCATTCTACGGCCTCGTCAAAATCAGTTGGATCCTTCTTACACCGAACCGCACCTGAGCTAAGATTTTGAGACACATTAATTTGCATGATTTTTCGTGTGTGCCGTGAACTTTCTAGAACAATTTTTACTAATCTTTTGTCGATCCGCAGCAGAAAATGAATAGACGGCAAGTCTCAAAGCCATCTTGCATCATCACTTAACGGTAAAAGGATGGGCAAGTTGCTCCTCTCATGTTTCGCGTAATATTAGAACGTATTGAAAGGTAGATATGGGGAGGGAGTGCCATTAGCTTCTCGATCGATCTCACGGGAAAAGGGATTGTCTCTTTTATTCATCCTACGACGTTCCTACTTAGGAGGGCGAAAGTGCGGTCGAAATTGGCATTTCCTCTAGTACGTTGTATGGGTATGATTCACAATGCCTCATCAAATGAGTAATAAAGGGGGCAGACCTGTATTTCAGTGAGTCAACAGTGGATTTATTGCACGGTCAGTGGAAATCGCTCCCTCCCTCGGGCTGTTTTGTTCCAAACCGTCCTTTTTGGGTGCTGGCTTTAACAAATGGGAAGGTGGAGAAGTAGGTTTCTGGCTTTCCTCCTCTGTTGCATGAATAAGGACAGTTTCATATGTTTACTTGTGGCATGGTAAAGCGGTCGGAGTTGTTTCTGACAAAGGGAGCAAAAATCTGTGGAAGTGCACTTGACTTTCTGCGGTTTCAGTTTGCTCCATCGATTCGTGGCAACGCACGAAGTCACACCCTTCAAAGTGCATTAGTTTACTCTCAGTTTTACAGGCTTATTTTCCGTCTGTACAACGATGGCTGCTAAACTTCTTTGTCGAAAATTGACAGTTTGGTGAACATAATACACACCATGAAGGCGTCACTGAGGCCTATATTTACTTGATCTTGTGTAAGGATGGAATTTGTGCTTATGCCTTTTTAGAGTCTGTTTTCGAAACAGGGCAACGGCATACGCGATAAAGCTACTCTCAGGGCTAAACAGGACTGGTGAGTTCATATCTGCGCCTTTGGATTTGATTTTATGACTCTTTCTCCTCTATGTTATGCGCAGAAACAGCAAAGCGCAATCACCGAATCAATTGTCGACTGATTCCGTGCATTGTAGAGTGGTTTCCGGTTGCATTTCCTGCATAATTCATTTTTGACCCTCAATCGGGCGCCATAACTCACCATTTGAAATTGTCTCAACCTTGCATCTCCCATTCCTGACTCGTCATTGAAACTTTTCAATGGTAGCTTTAAATGCAGTAAAGTGTGTCGATGCATTGCCCACACAAGAGGAGGGATATTCTTTGTCCCACCTTCGAAGTCCTTTTTTAAGTGAGGTTCGTTTGGACCACTAGTGCCTTTCTTTCAACTCGCATTGAAGATAGAATATGAATAAGTGCGGAATGACCTAATTTGCTGAGGACTTCTAATTTTGAGAGTCACCAGCCTTGGTGATTGTAGTGCGTTTTAATTTTGAATTGTTTTGAAGGGCATTCCTTTGAAGACTTAATTATTAGGGTAGGAAGACGTTTGTGCAATCACGGCATAGTTCAGAGCAATCGGCGTGGTGTAATTTGCAGATACTTGTGCGGACATCGCCGAAGGGATAGGTAGACATGCGTCAGCCTATGGGACATGCCACTTTAAAACTTTGTTTCCCATGGCTACCTAACCATTTCGCGTCCTCATAAAATGCCATTTAAACTTGACATGGCTCGAACCTCTCTGAATCACTGCTTCAAACTCGGTAAACTATGACGCAATAAAACTATCTGGGGAGACGATCGTTGACTAATGGATGTGGCGAATGAAAGTCAAATTCTTACCTTTGCATAACTGCAACGTAAGAGACTGTATTTAATATTTTCTCATCCTCATGTCGCGCTTCTCCGATTGTGCTTCTTCACATAGTGATAATCACCTTCAAGTGACGTTATACAAACTCTTGATTACTTGTCGAATGGATAGTTGGAAAGTGGAAGAAAATGGGATACGAAGGTAGCCGCGGCCAAGTTATCTCTTGACATTAGGAGACAGTAGTTTGCAAACGTGACACTCAAGTTGTATCCCCTTGGGAAGGGACTGGATTCTAGGTCGTGGTGATGGTTATTCCTTTTTCTCGGGTAGCTTGAGGAAACTGTGGTTCTCTAAGTTTATTGTTGCATCATTTAAACTTAGGAAAACATTTATAAAACCGATACTACCTAATATGGTTGCCTTGTGAAAATCTTTGCGGAGGTGTTTGGCCGATGCGAGTCCGCGCGATGTGCCAGAGATTTGTTGATCTTTAATTCGCGATAGTGATCAACTTTGCTGATCCTAGTTGAGATTGAAGGTGTGAAGACAGTGGGCGTTTTAATGTCGTCACCATTGGAGCGTTCGACCGACCTCATCATTTCAAAAATAAAAAAGTGTTTCAAGTAAAAAAAAACGGCAGAAGAAATTGATGCAACTGCTCACCTTCAGCTTGCACCGGCTAAAAGTGCTTTGTGCTTCGGGGCTATATTGAGGACGGTTGGAACCGAGAATATTTTAGCATATGGATGGCCTTGAGACACACGTACAGTTCACATCGGAGGACTCACGTAAAGAGAAAACCCACGTCTACAGTAGTCATCGTTTAAATCGGGGCGAATTATTTTATTACCCTCACCTCATATCTCCTCCTCATAGCCATAAAATCGGGTAAAGTTCCACCTCTCCCCCGCTCTCCTTCTATCATCTATTAGCTTAAATTTGTTACTGTTTCTGCTTTAGTCCATCGACTAACAACCTCTCCAACGATTCAACTGCTTTCAATGTGGTTCAAAATCTTGTGGATTCTCTGGGACGGCAAAAGTCGGAGCTGAAATTCACTGTATCCTCCCTCCATGATAGCATCGTTCAACAGGGCGAGAAGAATTGCTTCCAGGTAACAACAATGTACACTCCGACTTCTATCTTGTATTGTCTTTTTTGTTGGTTAAATTGGACCGATTGCAATTATCTGCCACCCTTTAATGCCTCCTTAAATAGTTAGACACGCAACAGTGCTCCCATGGATCCAAAATTTATTAGCCATTAGTCACACCAGTTAATGGGTCTTTAGCCATTCAACGAGTACCTAATTATCCTCTCGAATGATTAAAGTCAGGCGTGATAGATAAAAGATGATTGGTGATGTCATGTCTTCTTGTTGCTCACTTTTCGACACCTCTTCTTCAAGGTATCAACCTTCTTCCCACTGGTACAGTCATCTACACGACCTATCAATGGCCTCGAAGATCCCAGGCAGGAGCGAGTAACCTCGTTGACTCGTCGATGGGCTCAGGAGCGCTACCGATCCATCAGTTTCATGGATGATGATGAGGAGGATGACGATGACGATGCCTCTGCAGTATGTCTTCGACGTCCGGCACCCGAGAGAAGGCGTCTGAATAAGCTAACAACGGAGGAACCTCACTCCGTACATCGAATCTATACTTGTCGTTCGGTTGCGGAAAAAAATTACTGGTTGAATAAGTGAGTTATGCAATATAAAGTCCGATTTTGCCAAGACACTGCCATTGATAGGTGCTTTGTAGGGCAAAATCGACATAATGAGTGCCATTCTGGTACCACATTTTCTCTCTCGAGTCCTTGTTGGGAAATCGCATATTTTGGAATTTTCTTGCATTTTTTCCCTACCTTTAATCCATGCATTGTGATCAGTTGGAAGCCATTGCATTCAAATTCGTTTTACGGTCATTCCTTTCTCGCGTTTTTCTTTCCAAACTGACCAGTACTTGATTTACTACTTGAACCCGCGGGTAATGAAGTGCTTTTAGTCTCCTCTCGTTTTTTCTTCTACTAGGAATTGTTTTTGAGCGAGAATTAAGTAATCATTTGTACTCATTTGATCTGCACACATGGTAGACTTTCATCCACCTTTTCTTTCCTTGTCTCCA